GAAAACTTGAGAAGAAAATTAATTGTTGGCAATGTGCTTATGCATGAACTTGAAGAACAAATTGAACTCATGAACACAGTACATCGAAAAAGGAGCAAAAATCATTCAAATAACCATTAAAATTTTACCCTTCTTCTTCATTTGTCCATTGTCGGTTGCAATTGCTGGTAGAATGTAGAGTTTGGCGATTCACATTTGGATTTTCCTTCAGTAGATCCACAAGGGGGTTTCATCATATAGTGAACGTTGCGAGATAACTGTACTTGAGTGGAAACCAACAAAAGAAAGCTCAATCAATTAATAAAATAGGTGGTAGATCATTAAACTATCATTTACATTCAAAATTTATATTTTCTCACATCTATTAAGGATTTCAAAAGATATTATAGGTTATCTAGTGACATCAGTATTTGATAACTTGTATTGAAACTTCAAAACAAGTAAACACATAGTATTAGCAAACGTTAGAGTAAGAACTATGAGTTAACCTAGCTTATTACCTAATAAGAATCCCAATATCTAGATATAATTACAAGGTGTTCCTAAGGAAGCATACTACACAATTCTGGATGTTCTAAAATGTGATATGATACTTTCCGGCTCAAGGTTTCCCAAAGTGAATGTACACACCCTGGTGCACCATTTTGGGCAAACCTTGTATGATTCAACCACAAATTCAACTTTCTACATACTCCAAATCCTCTTATGCATAAACAACACAATCTTTGGTTGAAAGATTCAAATGGAATCGTGACACAAACAAGGGGCTGAGGGGAAGCAATTGAGAAGGAGAGTGAGAACTAAAAAATAGTAAAAATAATTGGGAAAGATGGAGATCTTATATTTTAATCTAATCGGTTCTCCGTCTATGTTATTTGCGTTGAAACGATGCTTGGCATAACAAAACCTGTCTTGTACAGCTTCTAAATATCGAGAACGTCAGATGTTCTTACCGATGTTGATTACACTCGTGGCTGACCATCGAACGAAATTATCAATTTTTAAAGCTAATTGACTTTGCAAATACAAATATAAATACAACATGAGAAAGAAGAGTTTTACCACTTTGGCTCGTCCAGGGCAGTAGCAGATGCAGAAAAAATATGTAATGTCTAACCTTGTTATTCTTTGAAGATTGTATGATATGGTGGAAAGAACTCATCGGTTTACAAGAACCCATCAAAATCAAATCTCAAACCCATTAGAACCAATCTCGAGCAAGATGTGGTGCGAAGCAAAATCAAAATAAAAAGCGAACAGGAGTTAGGATTTCGTTCCTTACCGAGCAAAGCTAAATCAAACTGGAGCAAAATGGAAAACGATAAGTAGTACATGCTTGTTAGCCACAAACTATTGGACATCTTCAGAGTCAGAGATTTACTGGTTTAGAGGGGCGAGAGTATTTCATCGTCTAGGGCCAGGAAGCAATAACAGTGTGGAGAAGGAAGGAAGTAGATATTATCTCTGGTATGTAACCTTGGGGAAATCAATAGGCACATTAATGCTTGAGTAGGTTTTGGAAACATAAATTGCATTGAGAGTGGGAAGAGATTTTGGGAGCCGGAAGGACTACTTTTTGGGAGAAGAAATAGCATGTTGGGGTTGTACACCCAGTGGCGGATCCAGAAACTTATATTATTGGGGGCACATTTAAGAGTGTCAAAACAAATTCTGAAACCAAATAACTCATTCGAATCAAAACGATTTCGGGTTATTTGGTTTCCGGATTAAACGGTTCCGTTATCAAATAAATATAACTTATTCGGTTTGGTTTTCAATTAATTTTTGACTATTTTGGATAAACCGAGATATCATATTCCCATGTACATATTTTACTTTTCGGTTAAACAAAAGCAAATGAACACACTACACATTAATAGTTAGTAGCAAGAAATTAGAGAGCAAGAGGTCCATAACTTAGATTCAGTTAAAAAGAAATCAGATAGCAAAAGGCTAAGAAATTAAAAATAAAAGATAAACTAGTAGTAAACCTTAAATCAAAATAACAAATTAAAGAATCCTAAGTCAAATAACAATTAAGAAAGAGAAAATTAATAATTAACAAATAACAATAATTATAATTATAAATCTATAAAACAATAAAATGCAAAAAGAAAGTTGAAAAAAATCAAAATAGTGATTAATCAAATCATTAGCATTATAGCAAACAAAATAAGAAAAATAAAATGATTTTCAACAGATTGAGACTTGAAACTTAAGGACGTTTAATTGATCCTTAAAATAATGACTCAGTGAAGTAAGAGTTATAAATGAGACACATAAATTTAGATTTGGAGTCTTACCTTTAATTGTTGGGGGCCTATTAAGAATTTTTGGTTAAATTTTTTTTAAAACCTATCATTATGCTCTATTTTGGTGCTTGTTGGGATTAGTTTGTTGGGGGCATGTGCCCCCTACAAGTATAATGTGCATCCGCTAGTGTGTATACCAATGGTCTTCTTGTCTTGTAATATTGAGAATTTGAATTCTAAAACCATTAAGAAGTTGTACAATGTACTTGTCATATTGTAATTAAGACTTTGAGCATTAAAATGTAGTACTTTATGCATTTAAAGTTGTTTTTAAGACTTTTTTCAAATCTAATTTATAAGGTAGTAAGTGTAGATTGTTATTCAATATATTTAGTAATTAAAAAGTAAATATAAAAATTTTAAAAATATTTATGCAAGTTATATAAAATTACTTATTTTGTTTTGTAGTTAATAAAAATGTGTTAAATGATTTTAATAAAATATTTAATCTAAATATTAATTATATATTTTGAAAAATTGTGAATTAATTTAAATATGTGAGGTTGACTCTTCTATGTTTATTCATATTATATCTAATGGTTATTTAAAATCATAAATTAATAGATTTTTTTAAAAAAATTGTTACCAAATCCAAAATTCATAAAATCAGTTTAAAATTCTTTTAGTCGAAATATTATATTATTTGTTTATTTATCGTCATCTTTTTTGTATTAATTAACATATTATGTTTTTAGAGATTTATTTTAATTATATTATGAAATATTGTAATTGATTAATTTTTTTAAGATGTGTTTTTTGTCATTTTATATATTTAAAAGAAAAACTAGTTTTTGTCAAACATAATTTGTTTATCAGCTAACTTATCAACTACCAACTTGTTTATCAGTTACCAACTAACTTCTCAACTAGTTTGCCAAACATAGCCTAAGAGTATTATAAGTTGGTATCAAAACCTTAATTTAAGAGGATTATATTAAGATCACTAAAAATATAGTATGTCAAGATTGTCTGTCATGCAATAAATTTAATCCTTACGTTATCATATGACATAGTATTCCTTTCATGATTCTAATGAATCGGGGATGTTACCAACAACATACAATTCAATAAACTCTAGTTAGCATCATAGACTAAAACGCATGCGCTAACTATTATAGTCAGATGTATTCACAGAACATGCTTTAGCAGTTCAAGTCCACTTATATTATTACAAGGCTTGTCTAATTATTAACTTCAGATCCCACGTAATCATTCGAGGTAAGCACAAATATCCACATTCATTAAAAACAAGAATAAATGAATTAAACTCCTCGTGTTTGGTTAAATTGAACAAAAATGTTTATATTTTACAATTATAGGGCTTTTTATTCTTCTTTTTTCAAATATAATGGCTATTTTAATACAAAATATCATAAGAAGAATTCATGCACATTGTAATTCTACAACAACAAATAAAACACAACCATTATGCACATGAACATTCAAATACCAAGACATAATTGGGACCTATGAGCATAACCGAATTTCAAAATTAACCCCAACTCCGCTCATATAAAAAGATCGACTACAAGATTTGATTCTCTCGGTTCATGATTCTTCTTGATAGCACCGCCGTTGCACAACACATATACCGACAAGCTCATTCCAAGCTCTCAAGCGCTTCTTGTGCAACAAGATTGTTTGGCTTTGCATAGCCCATTTCTTCAATATAAAACCAAACCAAACCAAATGAACCACTTAACCGGTACATCCTACACAATGGTAGGGTTTGAAAGGATAGTATGTACGCAAACATTACCTCTACCCAGGGGGTAGAGTTGTTTCTGTGTAGATCCTGGCTTGTCATTGCTTCAATGTCTTTCTTCTAATCAATTGGATTAGATGCAACATGCAAACCGAAAGGCCTTTGGTTTCGTTAAACATTACACAAGTACTACCAACACATAGGTTATGGAGAAGCATTTACCATGACATGTTTTACCCGACTCGCCCACACACAAGGCAGAGGCGGATGAAAAAAAATTCCGAGAAGGGGCACAAACTAATCAACATAGTACGAAAATAAAACAAAAATCAATTATGAACGGTTTCATTCAATATGGCATACAAGTGGTTTTTTCTTCTTTTTTGCTAATGTTACCAAAAAATAAAATCAGAGTTGGAAGAAACTTGAACTTGCAACCTATAACACCAAATGCAATGACACTGTCGATAGGCTAAGAAGCACACATCAAATTAGAGGTGGTATATCCTTTTAAGACCCTACTTTTTTCCCATTACAATCGAAACGATAAAAAAGGTGCACAGACACCCCCTAGCCTAAGCCTAAATCTACCCCGTTCAAAGCATCCCTCCATCAAAACAAACAAGTTCTAGACTATCAACTCTAATGAGTTAATAACACCTATAAGAAACTATCTCCATGGTACTTCACAAAATCAATTTAATGGAGTTTTTAGATTTTTGCATCTCTAAAATAAGAGACTGTTCGGTTTGACGGAAATTTTTGAGGGATTCGAGTTTCGTGGGAAGATTTGAAATCTTTGATGTGTTTGGTTTATAAGATCTGAAATAGAATGGAATTGAATTGAATTATAATTTATAAAAAACAAATAACAAAGAATTATAAAAATAATTAAATTACCTTTTATTGATTGATTATTACAAAACAACTACTTTTAACGTATTTGAAAACATTATTACAAAAAGAAAACATATAAAATCTCGTAAAATACCAACTACCCCATGGAATTTCTAAACCCAATGTTTTTTGGGATTTTAATTCCAGGCTTTCCTTTAAACTAGACACGAAATGGGAGCGAAAATCCAACAAACCAAACGGCCCTAGTAGTCCATAAAGGTCACTTTTAGATGACAAGCTAGAGTTTAAGTTTAACAAGAGCAAAGAGTGGAATTAACTAGTTTGGGATTAAGCTTGTGAAATAAAAAGGAATAATTGAATGAAATGATATAAGATGAAATGAAACCGACCTGCCGGACTCGAACCGACAACCGAAGTAATCTTCTACTCTTCCATTTGAACTAAGGTCAGATCCGATAGGTTTTTCAAACCAAGCTTGCCGGTTCTTCGACTACATAAATGATTGATAATTAGCTAAATATCAAATTAAGGTATCTTTTTGGCACAAAATCAAACTAATCATTCCCGTTTATGTAATTATTATTTATCTTTAAAAAAATTGATCGTTTTATTGTTGGGATGAGACTAGAAACGCAAATATAATGGCAATGATTAATTGGGCAGAGCGAGCATCTCCAACAAATTCCTTCTTTCCCAAATATGAACAAACAAAAGTTAAAATATTCACAAATATTATATTTAACTCCAACAGTTTCTCTATTTTGAAGACTTCTGACATTAAATATATCATTAAAATATCCAAATATATTTTTATATAAAATGATAATACATTCTACTTTCATTTGATACGAACAACAAAATATACATTCTTTCTTTGAAGAGTTCTCCAAATTTGGAGAGACTTCCACTCATGAAAATTTCTCCAATTTGGATAAACATTTGAAGAATCTGTTGACAAAATCTCCATCAAAGACTCTCTAACTGAGTTAATGGTCGTAGTCCAAAGCATACAGAGATATGGGATATTTTGGGTTTGATTTTGATTTCCTTACTAATGGTCATACATTCAACACTTGTTAACGAGAGGAATCCTCAATGAAGGATATAGTGGGTTCATTTGATTGATTTTCGAGTTAATGGTCAAAGATTCGACACTCGTTTCAGAGACCGTTTCAAAAGATTTAAGCTTCGATTCATACCACACTTGACTTGAAAATTTTATCGATCAGGTAGTGAAGATTACTCGACAATCCGAATGTCAAATTTAATTGATTGTGTTTGCTCTCTGGCATTGATCTTTGGTATAAGTTGTCGGGAAGCATGAGTCGAGTGCGGTAGAAAGAATATTGCAAGAGAAGTGAGGAATCATACCAGACGGTCGTAAAACACCATGATTAGCCCCGGTGGTTGAAACCAATATTACCCATCGACTTATGCCTGCGCCTAGAGCAATCGAAGAAAGAAAAAAAGAAAACTACGAATTACTATCACATTACATTCATAATTCTCTCATGCAATAAGAATTTGGTGATAATGCTAGCAGCCATATACACATACATATATATGAGGTCCAGAAAACTTAGCTGTGTTCTTGTATAACAAAATCACTCGATCTGCAGTTCCATTTACTAAAAACAAGCTTCTCCTAACCAAAAAAAAGAGCCTAAAGACTCTTAAATCGATGCAAAATAACCAAGAGATTTTATTACACTTGTAGAGCGTTCAAGGAATGAAAATGACCAAATTTGTTGAGGAATGTGTTCATTCCATTATGTGAAACCAACCAATACTAATTATTTCCATTTTCATTCCCTAATATATTTCCCCTTTAAAAACAAACAAACTCGGTATATTCCACCCGGAGATAGGGTTGAATTAGTTAAGATTAAGCCAACTCCAGAACACGTCAAGTTTTTAGTGCCCATTTGGGTGAAAAAGGAGGTATTGAGGATATAACTTTTTTATTTTTAGATGCATGAGCTTTCTACATTGTTAAGATCAGCTCTTAACACAAGAATGCTTCAAAACCATTCAGAAAGTCGTGTAATAAGAAGAAGAAAAAATATGTCAAAAGGTCATTCACCTAAATAAACCGAAAAGGATGTGCAATCAAATTAGGGAAACGCTAGTATTTTAGTTTGAGAATATAACTAAGTTTGCAAATTGCATTGGGCAACAAAAGAGCTAGTTATACATGTTATCACTCCCATACAAAGAAAACAATGAGGGATAGTGTTGAATCATCTAATGAAATTATATTCTGTATTGATGGTCAACGAGTCAAAATTTTGGGGCATGTCTGTCTGTACAACGATTTTAAAGTAATTATAAACAAAAAATTGACCAATGAATGACTGATTTACAGAATTTAAGGGGAGAAACTCATCTGCAACTGAGATAAGCTACAAGAATATGCACATGAATTGGTCGTCCAGCGTCTTCGAAGAATGACAGAATCATGAGCTGCTGAAAATATCACAATTTCCTGATGCAGCCCACCAAAAGATTTAACAAATCCTGAGACAACACAGGGTAAGCTAATTAGTCCCAGTGCAATGGTCATTTGGTGGGGTCAGGCGGTATGTGTACATAGACATGACCTCTACCCCAAAATGTAGAGTAAATGTGTCCGTGAAAACCCCTGGATTGTGAAAAGTGTATGAAAGAGAGAAAGGTGGATATGATAAATTTCGAAAAACTAGTTATGAGTAAGCAAAAACATACAAGTAGAAGCAAGTATCATTACCATGAAAAGAATGTCTCTATTCTACACACTGGTCACTGAAGAGAACATATCGAGATGTAGTCCTGCAAGAACAATCAAACTATATATAATAAACAGAAACATACGGAAAAAAACATTGCCCAGGCAAACCATGCATGTAACTAGCGACAAACGCGAAATATAACCCAAGGATGCACCTATAATTTATATTTTGGGTTTTTAATAATTCTCATTTTTAGGATAATGGTGATTTTAATGTTGAATGGCAAGTACTTGATGAGAAAAGAACCTATAACACAATGACATCTTGAGTTATGCTATGAAATTTGCATGCATTAGAAAGAATCTAGTATGTTTAATACTATCATGTGATAAATTCGAGACTAGACAATTTCAGCCGTAATTTCAATGCATTTATAAACGATATGTCAAAAAACATTAGCACATTGAATTCCAAATTGTAGTGACATTTATAATACCGTAATATTTATACGCATATATTGGAACCGAGGGTCCAATTTTACCAAATGCATCTAACTGCACTGCAAACAGCCAACCCATTTTCAAGACTTTTTTAACAACAATGCAAGGTCACTTGCACTACAAACCACAGTCCCTACCCAGGGGGAACCGGGTAGAAGAGATGAAAGAGAATAATAAACATATACTAGCTCTATGCCTGAATTTTCAAAGCTGACCATAACCATCAAATTGGACATAATATTAGAAGTAAATTATAGAAATCATGCAATCCACTGAAGAAACCGACATACCATGATATGTCCTTGTAGCTTCTTAATTCATTGATCCACGGCATCTACAATCCAAAAACCAAGTTTTAAGACAGAAAAATAAATTAATTAGATTTATAGAAGGTACAAGTAACTAACAGAACTTATAGCCAAAACTCATGATTCACATTTATAAAACAAAGATCACATTAATTGCTAGATCAAACATAAACATTGCAACAACCATCAGCATAGCAGCCATTAGATTTCCACGCACCACTACCCCTGAGTTCACATTGGTGGTATGTTCACAACAAACAAAACCACCTCTATTGGCAGGTAGCCTCATCTCAATGCTGCAGCCAATACCACCAGTGACTTGACCAAGGCATGTAGCATTAAGCACATAAAAGGTTCTCCTTTACGTAAAACTTGGATCGTGTATGTTATCAGCCTTAATTTTCTCTTTTCCATACAATCATCAGGGTAGCCATGAAGGGTCCCGCCGCACTTTTCCCATATCCCCTTCCTCCAACTGCGATTAGACCGACAGTAGAAAGAACTTACATATAAAAAAAGTCACATGGTCAACTTATCCAAAATGACCGATGTGAGTGGCAAACTCTTAAGAGATCACGGCTTCTGATCCTTTCTATTATTTCCCTCAAAAACAATTATACCAACCATGATCAATAGACTCAACACACATGCTAATGCTGCAAATGAACCAAATTACTCATTAACATAGACCAATTGGCTTAACGGTTCAGAAACATAAGCTGAATTCATGATAAGAAGCTCAATTGTTGAGTAGACCAGCAAAGCTCAAATTGACTTGACAACTGGTTCATATAAACAAACCAGGCATAATTCAATAATCAAAACCTTTCGAAATGAAGTTATTTCTTTAATCCAGAAACATCATTATTAAAGGAATTATATTATGAAAAGAGTTATACTTAACAGGTATCCAAGTAACTCAGTATGTGAAGCAACAAAAATGGAAGAAAATTAGGCTTGTAAGCCACTGAGAAGACCTGGGTGTAATCAAAAGACCCAACTCAAAATTTGAAGTAGTTCTGAACCAACTTGGGACCACTAACTTGATGAAAATAAGATTCTTGTCTATTTTTAGTTTTAGATTTTATCCGAGTCGAACTAAAACACATCAGTTGAGACTAGATGACTAGAAGTCATAAACACTATCCAAAGGCACTTCCTCACCACTCCACAACCCACATCATTAATTAGCACTTACAAAGCAATAATGTTTATTGCAACTACCATCATTTACAGCAATTTCACTCCCTTCACCACTGAACCCTCATCAATAGGGACAACGGACACCCATAAGCTTATTCTGTAAGTTTTATGGCTATATCTATTTACCTATTAAAATCAGTGTTAAGAACTTCCATAAGAATTTAGTAGACTTTTGAAGGGAAGGTAAGCAACTCCTTCCCTTGCAAAGATGCACATATGTTTGATGGCAAACATCACAAAGCACAAAGCCGGCTAGCAGGACAGAAAGCTGATAGACTACAATGTAAGAAAGAGTGTAATAGGGAAGTCCAAAATAGGTCATAAACAACAAAAGCAACTTTTTGAAATTACCTCCTAGAGCCACAGTTGCAGGGTATCTTTTTCTCTTCCAATGGGAACTTGTAATTGTAAGTAATTTCTTCTCCTGTAACTATCTGCCTTTTTGCATAAATAAATATCTTTTTCTGACCATCGACGCTGATAACCTTAGTATAACAATTAGGCTGCAAAAAATATTTACCATTTAAAATTGTATGTTAAATGCAATGCTAGTACATAGCTTCATCTCAGCTGTAAACTGCATCGAACCATGTACCTCGCATGAATGGTTTATGAATCTAGCAATTCCGCCACGCTTTGTAGCATCAACCTGTGCAAAAATGGCACCATTATCGACTGAGTGCAATAAGATATCATAACAAGAAATATCCCAAAACCCTACTTTAGCATCCCTAAGCCAGCATAAAGGAAGCGCATCCAATGTGGAAGATTCTAAATTTTATGTGTTGCTCAAATTCAGTAAAAGAAAACACGTTTATTATAAGAATAATAAGTCCAGATATTATATATGAAAGATATGATAAGCCAAGATTGAATAAATACAAGTTCAACACCGAAAGGGACCATGGTGAGAATGAGATAAAGCTAGAAGTATAAATTAATACAAGCGGTTGCAACCATTTGTTTTTGCTAATTCTCATGTTTCCCTTTTCTTTTCTCTTCTTTTCTATCGTGCTCATTTTTCACTTTCAACCTCACACACTCTGTTTCAAAAACAAGGGTCGAATGAGCACTTCTTAGAAAGAAAAAAAAAATTAATAGTTGTTTCAACAAACTAATGAGACAGACCCTAACTAACTTGCAGATTTTCCAACAAAAGCTAATAGTTGTTTCAAAGCACAACCTGCACCTTTTTCTTATTGATGATCTCCATAACCATGTAATATTGTGAAAATAAAAAGAAATTAAATCCACACCTTGCTTCTACCAAATGAAGAAACCTGGGCAACAATAATGTGAGTCATACAGAACAGGTATACATTTTCTCCTTTTTTCCTAATTTTCTTTTAGAGGATGAGGTTAAGTACTCTGAAGAATAAATATGAACTAAGAAGATATAAATATAGAAGACCCTGGGCAACATCAATGTGAGTCATAGAGAATAGGTGTATATTTTCTTCTTTTTCCTACTTTTCTTTTAGGGGATGGGGTCAAGTACCCTGAAGAATAAATATAAACTAGACAAGTAGATATAAAAGAACCTGGGCAACGTCAATGTGACCAATAAGAATAGGTACATATTTTCTTCTATTTTTCCTAATTTTCTTTCAGGAAATGGGGTCAAGCACCAGAAGAATAAATATAAGCTGGACAAGAAATAATCCAATCATATACTATGAATAAAAAATAATTACAGATCTCACATCTACTTACAGTTGTGAAAATATTCTAATCACTTTCACAAATAATTAGAAAGCTTTGCAACACCAAGTATTTTTGGTAGACCAGATTCGAAACTAGAACACTGTACATCAAAATGTATCATGGAAACACCTCCCTTTTTTTAAAATATGTATCATGGAAACAACTCATTACCAGCCAAGTTTACAACACATACTGTGTCATGTTGATACTTCCACTTTTCCCTATGATGAATTTTATTTAACTGAAAAAAAGAAGGAATTCGCTACGTATAGTTCACTGATAAAAGCGTGATTCATGAGATCAGTTGCTAAGCATATCTTACCACATAACCATCATCTAATCTAAAAAGATAACTGCTACCGATTCCCATCCTCTCATAATGCCGTTCACGGATATCAGAAATCTGAAAAATGGAATTAGAGAGTAAGAATTGAAAAGAAACACGGTGTGCATTGAAAAGAACTTGCAAAACCATAATGATGGAACATGGATGGCAAAAAAGAATAAAAGAAAGATTCACATGAGACAGGAGCTGCCCCTACTAAACTAGACTGTCAGCAACATAGTGCATTCAGTGGGAAGAGATAAACGATGGCATGCTTACACGAGGGCGAATTAGTTCCCCAACATATTCAATAACAAAATCTTCCGCTTCAATTGGCTCGAGTGCAACAAGACCCCAATCATGTATCTTGCTTCGTTGAAAGCGTAAACGTTTTTTCCTTGCCTGAAAACAAACATAAACCATCAATCAAGAACATAAGCATGGCAAGATAACACAGTCTTATCCTTTCACTACCTTTAGCTGAGTAGCTTTTAAAAGGTCAGCACCATCTGCAGCAGCAAGAAGGCTTCGCAACTTCACCCTGTTTGTTCTAGCAGATAATCCCTTAACATTTGTAAGATGAAATACATTGGTCTCTGGACCAATACTTTTTGCATCAATGATGTGAGTTCCTCGTATACGAGCCCTTTCAGCAGGACTTGCGTGTAATGACCACCTACGCCATTGCCATCCATTGATTGAAGAACGAGCACATCCTTTAGATATGGGGAAGGTTTTTGACTTTTTGGACTTGCTATTTTGGATCTTCTGCACTGCCGCTTGATTACAACTTGCTTTCTTGGCAACGCCAATAGCTAGTTTGGGAACTTTCACAGAGCATTGTTCTGGAATATCATCTGCAGAGCACTTCCTTTTTAATTTTCCCACTTTAAGCGCTGTAAACATAGGCACAAGATAACAGCCGTCAAGTGCAGACACATGTGGCTAATCAAAAACAAGGGAAAGTTTTAAACATTGAAAGAAGCGTACATTTGCATCTTGCAACATTCTTGGACGAATTACCAGCAGGGACTTCCTGGCCTCCAAGATCACTGCCTATACCACTAGCAACCTTCTGAACATCACAAGCATTTCCAGTGAGATGCAGAGCATTCTCTTTGCTAGAATTTACACGAACAACACTTGTGTCATCTACATAGATAAGAAAAAAGAATAACAGGTCTTAATATATAATCATCGTGGCCTTAAAAAGCACAAGTGACCAGAACTAAATCAAATGAAGTACCTTGGGATACAGTAGAAACCTTGACAGATTTCTGACATGTGATACTAATGGATGATGATTGAACTCCATGAGAATTGGGATCACGGAATTGCTTGGTTGCACGATAATTTACTGCATCTTCATCAACATATTCAATCATAGATTCGACAACCTTATTCACACTTACTAGTCCAGATGGATCCTGACTCCTCGAAGTCTCAACTAATTGCCCGTTTGATCCAATATCTCCATCTTTAAGTTGCCCAGATAAAGATGTGAACTTTCTTTTCGTTGACTTCCTTGTACGGCAATAAGTATAATTTCCATTGCCAACAGATGCTTCAGAAGGTCCTGAGCTTTGAGCATTCCTTGATTGCTCCCTGTATTTGTCAAATGCAGAATGGGACTCTACAGCCTTCTTCTTTCTTTTACTTGCTGCCCCCTGGATGGAAAGAAGTGAAATTCATTCCTGATGGTGAGTGGAAGAAAGCATATTATTTTAAGTCAAGATACGTACCACAGTTGTATCAACGTTACTGTGCTTCTTAGAAGAATGCACTGATTTATTATGTTTATCAACAGCATCATTGACAAATATGGATAACCACTCCCTAAGCACAATATCATGCAACTTCTGTCGCCACATTGCCAAGATAGAATAGACCCCAATCTTAGGAACGGATTCAATTGACCTGGGGGGGCGAAACTGACAGACTTGCTGAAGAACAGTTCTAGAATTCTCCTTAGACACGATAGATTGCAGGTCATGTTTATTTTGCACAATATCCTCATGTGCGTATACTTTAATGAAAGCATTTGCAAACCAACTAGATGAAGACATCCCAGATCCACACATATTTTGCTGAGATGACTTTGTTTGTGATGAATTATTAGAAACATTAAATTGATATATCCTCAAATCATGAGGCTCTTTAGGGTAACCACACCGACTTGTACGACCACGCAGAACTTGCGAGCCAACAGTAACCTGCAAATATTGAATATATGGTTCATAGAGGGAGCTAAAATCATTGGTATCATAGACAACCAACTTGAGACAATAAGTGAAAATCCTGAAAAGATCTTTAATAAATTCAAATGAACTCCTAAATCGACGCTGACTTTACCTCCTTCATTTGAACTTTTCTTTTAGTCATAACAACTTTCCCCACTTCCTCATCGACAAGGTGTTCAATATACTTAAGCAAAGACCTCCTCGCAGATAAATGGATATCACTTTCTACACCTTCCATTATTTGTGCCAAGTCATAACAACTTCCATCGTCCCTCAAACAATCACCTTTAGAAACAACTTCTTCATGACATGATGATGATGGAGATGCAGAAGGCTTAGGAAAAGGCTGCATTGCAGACACTTCAAACCCAGGGGGATAATCATTCTTAGAAGATGAAGATTCTTGTTCGAGCTGCAATTTTAAAGTTACTTGGATACAGAAGTTGAATGGAACAAAATACAAAGCAAAAGCAGTACACAAACATCAACAATATAGTACTTACATCTTCAACAGGTAACATCTCAGTCAGCTCATGACAATCATTGGATGAAATGTGATGTTCAACAGCAGCATCATGGCTGGTCCACAGATTCTCATTCCTCCAGCGAGATATTTTATCTGCCACTGAATCATAGAGCACGGCATTCCAGATGACTTGCATGCAGGAGTCAAAGAGCTTTCTGCAAAAATCAATGTATGCTCCATGAAAGTTCTCCAAGCTTCCAACAGATTTCTTGCATCCAAGAGATTCCACAGAATTTGAAGGGGGCTTTTGGTTGCAAACATTATGAGATACCACCATTACTTCACCCCCAGATGAGTCCTCCAATTCCTAGTTTGGATAATATATGTTCAGATAAAACCTAGAGTTAAACATAATCTGCAACATTGAATACAAGCACACGAGTGATTACTGGCAGCAAAATGTATTTACCATTCTGCCATCCAATTGGCAGGTTTTGATTATCTGCTTGGGCTCTTCATGCTTGAGATGTCTGTCAGCTTTCTTTGCAATCACACACTCCGTTATTATATGACTTATTATTTCATCCAACACAACCTTTCTCGTCGCTTTCATAATTCCAGAATGCAACTGGGAGCAGACCTCTTCCGAAATATCATACACGAAACCCGTTAAAAAGTCAGTGTCGTTGTATTTAGAATGAGTTATAGAGACGCTTTCACCTCCAGTGGTTACCCAGGAGTTTATAATAGATTGCAAAAGTGAGGGCTTAACTTTACTCTCAAAATGATGTACCTGCAGAACATCAACATCAGAATTAGGCGACACCGGTAGAAAATAGATGCACATACAAGAACTGATTTAGGAAAGAAAGTTTAAATGGCGAGACATTGGGATTAAGTAAATCAAACATAAAGCCTTAATGACACATCACAAAGTATGAGAGGTGATTGGGGATTACAACATCCATGAGGTAAAAGAAACTACGGTATCTGGTTGGCTTAATCATTTATAAGTAATCAAAACATCAATGGGTCAAAGAGAAAAATTGTGCAACACAATGAGCACGAAGAAATCTAAAGTAGTCGTTAAATATCCAAAGCCCAAGTAAAATTCAAGCCTTCAGGCACATGAAGTCTTATTATAATGTGCCCACATGCATTGACATGCCAGAATATCTCCAAGAGGCAGACAAAAATACATGTATAGGAAAAAATCAGTCATATTAGATAAACATCTAAAAATTCTTATCATAGAATTATCAAAAACAAAAAATTAGAGATTAATAAGATCTTATACTGCCATCACGCATATACAGCAAATTCAGGAGAACAGGTGAAATGGAAGAAAGAAAAAGGTCACTATTAACAACATAATTCACTCCAAAAGTCCAAACAAACCCAAATGTTGTCCTCTGACAGTTAGTCGTCTTACCAAATTGAAAGCATGTGCTTGATAGGAAACCAAGGCAACTTAATTTATTTAGCATTCAACACAAGATGCATGAAACTCTGCCTATCTATAAACAATGTGACAATCTAAAGATATGAATTTGTATCATGCCAGAACTTGATGACGCCTGTAAAGCTGTGTGTTAGCAGTTAAAGGGGCCCATCTGAAGAGAACATAATCATTTTAGTTTACCACGGCAACAATTTTTTGAACTTCTATCTCAGCTAAAAGGTCATGTCAAAATGCAGATCTTCTAACCACTTTAGGCACGAGACTGGTAATAACTAATAGATATATGGTACCACCATTTTATGAATATGCATATCCTCAAACAGAAAACCATGCAATAAATTCCACCAATATCATACATCTACAACAAACTCTACAATCAACCAAACCATGTCTTACCATCACTGAACCATGGAGATATCCATAATGATGCCAAGAATAAAGCTCTAAAAGAGAATGTGGACCATGTTTCTTTCCCTGATCATCTTCAAAAAGCCAGCATGATTCTTCACCTGACTGAAGGCTCAAATCAACATATAACACAGGGTTAATTCATTGAACTTCAATGAAACATGTTTGGAATATGAAAAATTAGAATGGATTTTTTTGGTAATACCGGTGACGGATATGATAAAATTGAGTTAGCTGCTCCAGATTTCTGTATCTGCTGGGTTGAGGTAGAAGCATTGTAACCACCACCATGATGTAATTCAGACTGCGATGTATTAACTGCATCTGTATGAATTTCTTCTTTCTTAGCATCCATGTTCTCAGGAGGATATTTATCAGAATTTTCCTTGATATTAGATGCCGGAAGACTTAAATAAACGAAGCCTGTTGCAACATGATCAGGAAATTGCCGGAAATACTTTAAGGGCACTGGATTGACTAAGCTTCCTTGCAAGATGGGGTACACAGGAAGGTCCTCTGGCAAGAAGCTAGTGGAAAGACCTTCACACAGTTGCTCCTGTATATATGGGCCACACATTTGTCCTTGTTCATTGACGTACATCCAACCACTCACATATGCAGGCTGGGCATGCCCAACATAATTTTTGTTGGTATCATCGTAAAGATGGATAGCATTTTCGCTATTTCCATTTGTCTGGCAGTTCGTCTCCATTGTAGACTGCATATCACCTAGCGTCACAAGTGAAACAAAATAATAACAGTTAGAATTCAAGAATCAGCGAAAAGAACAGAAAAACTTGAAGGGAAAAAGAGAGAGAAGAAATTGAAAACACATATAAATGAATGCATGTTTCTTGAAAAAAGATGATATTAATGGCTCAGCTCCATAAATGATGCTTTCCCATCAAAAATCATTTGCCAATAGTATGACAACCAATAGTTCAGCTTAAATCAAGAGCAAAAGCCAAAAACCAAGAACAGTGAGCTGTTTAACTCATGGGTAAAACTTGGTTCATCCTTTTTGGCATCCTCATATTTCTTTTAGGCAGGAGCATTGGAGACACCTATATTAACCCACATGTAACATGTCTGTGTCATTGAAACAGCCTGCTGCATACAAAGACTTCCCTCCCGACCCTCAAAAAGCCAAAAACACTTGGCATGCAAAGACCACCACTTATTTATCATGTCCAATACTCTATAAAACATGAAAGGCCTCCAACAATTCCAAAACTTGTTTGGCCCTCATCTTAGCACAATTACTCTAGAGCCATCAGAATCTCCTTTTTACACAGATTTGGTATTACTCAGAACAATGGCACAGGAGTAGCAATGATGCATATATTAAAAAAAATATTATAAAAGGTTAAAATATAGGAAGTGAAGCAATAGTATCTTATGATATGTAACTTTTTTTAAATTGTGTTGAGACCCATCAATTACATTGACTCTGATAGATTTTTTTGAATAAAGAGCATCTGTGATAGTTCGTGATTGGTTAAAGAGCATGTTAGTTATGTTGGGCAAACATCAATAAACTGAATCAAGAAGTTACTTTGACAATCACAAATAAAATATAGAAAAGACTTCCTTCAAGCGAATTAAAGATTATAGTACAATATTCATCATCACAGCAGCAATGGGCTACTTGTATCCAACATCAGTGGCATGGTTCGATGTATCCTCTCAGCCTTCAACAGCTCAGACAATTACAGAACTTGAAAACCAAGACAGCATAACAAGGAATTAAAGCAAGTCTTACTTTTAGTTTCTCCGTAACGAACTAAAAGACTGCGGAAACCTCCAAGTCATTCAACAGAGCTACAAAAACTTGAATCGAACATCATAAAAAAATATACAACACATCTCCAAGAAAACCAATCGAATGCTAATTTGTTCCTACACTAGCATACAGAGAATTGATATTCCAAATAACCAGCTGCTATTGTCAATACTAAAAATTGAAACAAAAACGTTCGATTACAAGAAGCTGCGATTCGGTTTAGTAACCTCCGTGCAAAGATAAGCGAAGGTACGATTAATCAGTACAGACTGCTACCTCCTTCAATAGATCATTCTTTTGCCGAACGATTCTATTGCTGGAATCGGCAACAATTTCACAATCTTCACGAATCCAGCGATGTAGTGGATCGAGATAAGGTCATTGAGGTTGTCGGTGAGTGGGAAAGAGAAGGGGGAGATGGCCGATGGGGAAGCAGGTTTTGGGATGACTTGCAAAATTTCATTGGGTTTCTATTTGAGCCCAATAAAACAACCCTGACCTAAAAAATAAACAAATCGAATAATATTTTTCACGTGAAAATAAATTATCGGCAAGCGTTTTTATTTGATAAATCAGATCTTATAAGATTTTCAGTTATTGTTATAACTTTTACCTGATAAGATTTTTGGTATCTCATATTCACTTAATACGAACAAGCAGGGGTGACAACTCGTGAGCAGGACGTCTCTAAAGAAGGGCACACATCCACGATCCAAAAATATCAAGGGCCCAAATTTTTCTGTTAATATACATAAGTTGTAATATTCAGTTTCTAAAGGAATTAGAAAAAAAAATTATATATATATATATACATAAATATATATATATGATTAGTTGTGTGTGTGGGGGTGGATTATTTTTATGAAAATGATTTCTTTTTTTAGTAAGGAAGTGGCGGCTATGCACTTGTTATATATGTACTTGCGATATATAGCAAGTGCATATGAATGGAAGAGGGTTTTGGCTATTCTTGAAAAGTTATGTCACTATATTTTCTTAGCAAGAACCGAGGGTAGAAAGAAAAGGAATCAGAAACAAGTCTTCGAGGGAAAGATGAGTGTTATGGCTTTATGTATCCAAATATCTTATGTTGGGCTTATGATTCAACTTTGTATTAGAAATGTTTTGCTTCAAATTGAGAAAATTCATCCGGCTACAAGGTTGTCCGGATACGTTTCCATCCGGTTACGAAGTCGTCCGTACAACGTTCCTGTCCGGCTATAGCGCCGTCCGGACAACGTTCCTATCCGGCGTCGACCGGACAACGTTCATGTCCGGCTATAGCGTCGTCCGGGCAACGTTCATGTCCGGCTATAGCGCCTTCCGGTTTGTGTTTCCATCCGGCTAGAGAGCCGTCCAGATTCCTTATCCGGCTAAAAAGATAAACTGGCGGTGTAATCGCAATAGATGAGTGATGAAATGATATATTAAAATCCAGGTTTGTTATAAATCTTGGATTTTGAAATATGTACTGTTTATATGAGAAAAATACACTCACTAGACCTTCTGGTCTAATGCTCAATTATTGTACTAATCTGTTTTGTAGATCATCTATCATCACAAGATAAAGGCAAGAAAAAAATGTAAAGACTTGCATTTAGGAAATGTGTAACTGAACAAGTTTTTGTTAATCCGTACTTTCTTATGTTATGTAAAACATTGATTTTGGGTTATACTACAAGAAGTATGTTTCCATATGAGTAATTGTTGTGATTCTTTATTATAAATAGCATTGTGGGTTGTTACATAAGTAACTTAAATTTTTTTAATAAATTAAAGAAACCCAAAAAATTGTATCATATAATAAGAGGCAAAAAAGAATTTAGTAGATAATAAGGGCCCAAAATATATCAACTAATTACATTAGAGAATAAAACAAAAAAAAAATTAATTGGTCATTAATGATATGCTATTGTTTATTGTTTATCTAATTTTTTTTATTTCCAGCAATGTCCAATGACACTAAATATTGCTATCTATATGTTTGACTGTTTTCATGTTTCAACAATTCAACATGCTATATATTTTTGTTGGATATTTTTATTTATTTCTGTTTCTATTGACTATTATTATTTGGTTATGTTGTTCTAATTGTTTTTATTGACTATCGTTATCTATTTTTACTTCTACATAAAACATTTTACTACTTTTGACAATCAATTTATTGTTCTTATGATATGACGTGTTTCATAGTTTGTAATTAATCAATAAATTTTCTCTAGTAGATGTATTTAGTAATGTCTTTTATATATGTCATATTCCATAAACGTTTAATCTTTACATCTTATTTTAGTTGAGCAAAAATAAGAAGGAAAATAGAATTGTTTGACTTATGTATCTTTCATTAGAATTCCACCACACCACAAGATTCTATTTAAGTATTCAAACAACCATTTGTTGAGCTTGCATATTATATGTTTTATTCATTATTTATTCTTATTGATCCTCATTTGTCTACTTGTCTAGACAACCTTGATAATCTTCTCTATTATCGATCTCTCATTGACCCTCACGATTACTTCATTCACATGAATTCTCTTTTTTTTTTTATCAAAGTAACACATATTTCTTGTTATGAACTAAAAAAATGATTATTTTTTTATAAAAATTAATCAATTGTTAGCTTTATTCTGAAACTAATAATAACCTTGAAAAAGTTTTATTAAGCAATCGGGGCCTAGAAGATGAACTGAAGAAGTTTCTGCGCCAAAAAGGTCTAAAGTCTAGAAGACTAGCCTCTGTGCTAAAGAGTCACGAAGACCAGAGCTTCTTTCAAAGACTACAGAGCTTCTGTGGTAACCAGAGCCTCTGCAAGGCTCTGTAAGGACCAGAGTTCTTGGA